CCTGATGAGCCCTGTACCGGGGCTGAATTCAGTTAATAGAACATTCAGACTTCTGAGTGAAAAGAATTAGCTCTATGTTTGGGAAATAGTTGACTAGAATATTGTTACATGCTTGGTAATGTTTTCAGAATTTTCTCATTTGATGATTGTGGCTGTTAGCTGAGATGGGTCAAACAAATGGTGTTTCTGCAGCATCACTCAAACCAGCTCGCACATAATCAACCAGAAAGCCAGCTGATCTCTAGCTGAACTTAAGGGAACTGTGGATGTGTGGTTGGAGCTGTGTAGCCAAGCACTAGATGCATTTTATGGTGTGGTTTGAGAGAAAAACTACACAGCACTTTTTTGTAACTAGGTTTTCATTTGGTAACCTTTCATGTTTGTGACTTCTCTTTGCTCCTGTCAGAATTGCTGCTCTTTGCTGTGGTAACACTCCATGTTTTTAAGAACTCTTTGAATGTAGCCTGTCTAAATATGGAAACATATGCTTTATAATTAAGTATCATTCCAGATTGCATGTCAGAATTTTGCATTATACACCCAACCTTTATAAGCACTATTTCCATATGAAGATTTTAGGGATATATTTTAGTTCTTAAAATATTTGTCCTTTCTGTTGAATACCGGTATGCTCAACACTATAAGACTTAAGCCTTTTTTTTTTTCTTCTAGAATAAAGCTTTAAATAATTACGCTATCTCTCTATATATTTGTATAGTAAATATATTTACTATCCTCAGTAATAGTTATTTATTATGTCAAAATAACATACATATAGATAATATATATTTTTCTGTATTGTAACAGTGGCAATTTTTTCCCCTTCAGGAATTGTGGTGCTTGGATTAAACAGATCTCATGCCAAGAATGCACTTAACAAAAATCTTTTAAAAATGGTAAGTGGAAAAAAAAAAACAAAAAACACATTTCTAGTATGAAGGTGAGGTGTTGGAATTAAGTGCTTTAAAAAGTGTTTGGTTATTCTCCTCCCTCCTTTTCTCTGTAGATGACAAAAGCTGTGGATGCTTTGAAATCTGATAAGAAAGTACGAACTGTTATATTCCGGAGTGAAGTCCCAGGGATATTCTGTGCTGGTATGCAAACTTAATTTTCCTGAGAAGCTGGAAAACTGTAATATAATGATGCACACACACACAAAAAAGCCCAGATTCCAAGGAGTCATGTTTGTTTATATCCATTGCAGTAGCAAGGAAAACATTTTCTGTATATTTTCCTCAATTGCTAACAAGAATCAGATATTTGTTTTATTCTTTCTGTGTCGTAAAGTGTTTCAAATGTATGTTAGATTAGTCATATTGGTGGAAAATTACTTGATTTTGCTCCTAGAATGTTTCTTGTAATTCAAAATGAGGACTAAATCCCATATTGGGCTGCTGTGTAGAAAGCAAATTAGAATGGTATTTTTAATAAATTAACTTTAAGAAAGATACTAAACGTTAAATAAGCTTAAAATTAAAATTCATGATGGAATTGACTGTTACTACAGGCTGAATAGTCTCAAGTTAAAAAAAAAAAAAAAAGTCACTCAACCCAAATACCAAGCAATGTTCTGCCAAAGTCATAAAGAATAGGAACCTCTGGCCACCAAACATTGGGAAACAGAATTTATTAACATGTCAGAATTAGACAGTGTCTTCTCTCTCCATCAGGAGAAAAAAAACATCAGAAATCTTGTCTAGTTCTTTCCTTGTTCAAAATTAATTAAAAACTATCTGGAATTGAGACCAAAAGTCGCTTGTTCGTTCAAATGTATGAGTGAACTCTACTAACTATCAAGTTAGATATATATTTATTCTATTTTTTTCCTGGTCATCTGTATAGTCATTTAATTGTGTTGTGTAAAAGCTACCAAATTTACTCAGTGCTAAATGCTTTTTATTATTAAGCAATTTTTTTTATATATATATTTGAGTAGTTTACACTAAGATTTTAAGATTCTTTTCCTTCCTTTTACTTGAATATTAGTGTTCACTTAGGTGCAGTTTGGAGCTTAAAAGACTTCTGTAAAGAATCATTTTAGAAAAAATGAAGCAGTTCATTCACTGTTTAGTGAATGTAGTAATACATATGTATTTAAGTTATCAGGCATGTGAATCTTATTTTGAATCAGTCAACAAGTTTTAAAAATACCTAAGTAATAGTTTTAAGGAAAATGAAAGAAGGAAAAGAAATTAAAGAAATTAAAAGTTGTGTTTTTAAACTAATAGAGTGATGAATGTGCAGGATCGAAGCAATTGCCTGGAGAAGCATTGCTGGTTCCTCTGAAAAGGTATCCATTAACTGCATTAACTGAGAACTTGTTACCATTTGAGCTTTTAAACTATTTTTTTATTCAATATTTGTGGTTTATGGTAACTATGATAGGAGTTGTGGCAGGAAGAACACTGACTTTTCCTTTTTGAAGGGGAAAGGTCAGGTATGCTGTTGCAATTACCTTTTTAATTTGAAGTACTTCTGTAATATCCGTTGTTGGATAGTTTAGCAGAGTTATTTTGATACAAAGAGTTTTTAAAGCTTTGTTTCCTGTCTCTTTACATTAAGTGAATAGCTCAGTGTATGTATTCACAGCCCACTACGATCATTTGTAAAGGGAACATTAGGGGGAAGTTAACCCTGAATGGGGGAGTGGAAAAGATTAGGGCTGGAGAGAGAGTCTGGATCTTAAGTCAAGGAGTAGACACAGATGTAGTATACCAACAACCAGTGCTTCAAAAGCAAAACAAAAATACAACAGATAAATGTCTAAGAAAGGAAACTGCTAGTGAACCTAGTGAAATGAAGAATGTTCCAACAGTGATATCTGAAGTGCTGGGTGAAACTGAGCAGGAGGCAAAATCAGGCAACAAAAATAGGCAGAAGGAACTCAATGGTTGATAGGGCTGTTAGTGTAGATGAGGTTAGGGGATGTCTATAAAGAGAACGAAAGGAGATAAAGCATAGGTGGATATGGAGAAAATAGATAAAGGCTTAGATAGGTGGGATGAGGGGAATGAGCATATTTGCCCAGGAAATTGAGCAGAACAGAAGAAAACTAACAAACTTTTGCTTGAGACTACAAACTTTTAAATTCCAAACAACAATATGTTGTTTAAAGTCTTAATTTCTTTAAAAAAATGCAAAGATCATTTTGTGAAGTGTCACATTTTAGTGTGCATTGTGATGAAACACAGTGAGATTCAGCTTGGATGTTTGTTTAATCTTTTATTTTTCCCTCCGTTATGTTTCAGGCTTGCATGTGTGGGAATGTATATGGTTTTTAAAAATATGGTTTTTTTACGATCACTTTGGATTAACATTCAACGCTTTATAGACCACAGATTGAGAAATTGTGTCCTAGAATGTAATTCCTTTTTATGTGTGGAATGAAATTCAAAATCCTCAAGTCTCACCATTCCTCAGCTATCAACAAAAATCTGTGAAAGCTGTAGGCCAAGTCCTTGTAAGGGCTAGTCCACAAAGGATGACATCCATCTGTTCTGTGATAAATGACAGTGTGGTTGATAAAAAGACTGAATCCCTTCTGATGACTGATACGGATTTCAGTACAATTTGGTGAAATTGTATGAAATTTTCACATGGTGAAGTGCAGGATATGAGGCTGGGGGCAGAGACGACGAGTTCTTGTATACGTGCCAACAATCAATCCTTTCATTTCTACTTAGTTTCACTTGCAATCTTTTATCTCTATTTTCTTTAAATGTATTTTCTTACGCTCCATACATCCCCACCCCCAGAAGGTTCCTCATTAATATGCTAGTGCTGATGAAAAGAGACACCTACCAATCAAGGAAAAGCTTCTCTGGAGTTAAGGATGCGCTATGCCTGCGAGGCCTGCCTCTGGCATTTCCAGCAGAAGTGCTCTTGCTCTGTGCCTCTTTCTTCCTTCTAGAAGCTAGTAAATAAAGATTTGGCCTTTTTGAAGTGAACATAGATGACCAGTCCTGGCTTGTGTAAATGTACACAAGTATGTGCCAGTTCTACAACCTGTGCAGCTGAGTCCACGCAGGAATTCTTTTTATTAGCTGGCAATATTTAATCCTCAGAGGAGTTACATCCTCCCAGCCTGTTCATGGAATAAGGCAGGTGTCCCATGGGTAAAAGTCTATGATCATGTAATTAAGAGCTATACTGTGTTCACACAAGCGGCTGAATTAAATTTACATAGGCAATTTCAGCAATTTTGTTTTTATTAGTAATGTGGATTCAACATGCTAGATATATCAGTGGTATTACTTATGCAGTTTTTTTGTGCAGCTTTACAGGACTTTTAATCTTAAAATAGAACTTTGGGGAAACATAATACTGTAAAAAAGGGAAAAAGAATTTTCTTAAGTTGTTGTAGAGTAAGAGCAGAAAGAAGGCAAAGCTAAATTCTGTCCCCTGAGAATTACTGCTTTGGTTTTCAGATCATGTTCACTAATGTCTATGTTTCAAAGAGTCAAGTAATTTGAATCTGCACTTTAAAGATTTAAATGCTTTAAAGCATTTGTCTTTCAGTTTCCTAAAGCATATTCCTTTACATAATATTTTGGAACTTGTAACTGTTATAGAAGTTTGCATTTGGGATGTTGTTTTGGCAAGCTAAAGGATGTTATGTGATTGCAAGTCCTCCCTTTTCCTGCTTTTATTCAGTACTCCTGTCTCTGTGTTTGGTGATGTTAAATAGGGATTTTGTTATGCTTAGCAAATACTTGAGACAGGACCAGTGAAGGAGAGATCTCATCTGGTGGATTTGTTTGTTTATTTATTTTTATTCTGCTTAACTTTTTTTTTTTTTAACCATTTTATTTCTGGATGGTTACAGGAGCTGGAGAAACAGATGCCTTTTATAAACCCTTCCTTTTCTTTCCCCCATTCCACCTGCTGTTCCTTGCACCATGGTTACCCCTTGTGTCCTCTCATGAAAACATGTATATGTGTTTAGAAGTCTATTCCTCTCATGCTTGTCTCGGGTAGCAGTTTCCTGGGACATGGTCTGTTGATTCTGTTTGCAGCTCATACTGTTAAAATAGTAGTGTTTAACTTTATTTAAACTTTGAATAGTTATTGTTTTCCAGATGCCTGGTCAGCCAAATCAATTGGTAACTCCAATTATCTGCTATTCAGTCATTCAGTCAGATTTTTCTCCTTGTATTTCCTTTATTTCATCGAAGATTTGCATTTGAGTTTTCATCCGTTTCCTTGCATCCATCCACTCTCTTGTCCATTGGTTTGTACACATACATGCACATGAGGAAAGAGAGGCTAGGTCTGTTAATATGCAAATTTGAACAAAATTTGTTCTTTGAACAAAAAGAACAAAACTTGTTCTTTTTTAATAATTCTTGAGAAATCAGAAGATGAATAGTTAACTTTTTGTTCTAACTGACTTTAAAGGCAACATGAAAAATCTGGTATTGGAGTACTTCACTCTGCTTTGAAAGGACCCAACTTCAGTCACTGCAGCTCTGTCAGTAAAGCCCCCTCTGGTGAATGCTGAAAAGTCATTCTGCTAGTTAAGGGCTATGGCACAAGTCAAGCCAACACAGGTAGTTTTCCTATTGGTGTAACTTCTCTGTATTAGAATTTCGTTTCCAGTCATTGTAGCAGCTGGCTGTGTGGTATGTGGTTCATGACTACTGTTTCCAACTAATGTAGTTTTGCTAGCAGAAGTTTGTAAAGTAGATAGACCTCAGAGAGCTGACCTATGAAACTAGCTTCATTTAAAAGGTTTTGATGTGTATTAAATGATAATACCCAAGAAGGAAAGTGGTAGTAAATTTCAAATACTTCACTTCGATTTTTGTGGCATCAGTGAGGGTGGTACAGAGGTACAGCTGTGGGTATAGTCCTCTTTTTTCTTCCCAGTCTTGGAAAAGGTTACTAGTTTCACGGGGCATGTTATTTTTCTGCAGATTCTAGTTCATGTGGAGGAACCAAGAGAAGCATTGAGGTGTTACTCCACTGTTTCCTTTCAAGGATCCAGGAACACGATTGAAAAGATTTTAGTGCTTTCTGGATATCTTTCTCACTGTACATGAATTTCATTTCATGAAATGTGAATTCCTTCAGAGGTAGACAGTAGCTAGGTTTC